TTAAGAAAACTTAAGTGCTTGTACATTTAGAGAATATTTCAATATCCTTGAATTTTCAAATTTTGAAGATTTAATAGGAATGGATATTTATGGAAACACATATAATCTTATGAAAACGTGATTCACGCCGCCGAAAATGGATTGCATTTCGAGCCATTTTTAAATACCTGACATCTCGGTATAATGGCACGCGTCTGACACCCTTTTTCGCTGCAAAATGTCAATAAAAGTGACATTACGCGTTAACGTTGCATTCGTTTCCATCCCCTCAACAATACTAAAAGGAGAAAATGGCTATCATTTAACAAAGTCGAACAAAAAATGAATATCTTGGCAATTTTAGTCGTAACTGATAAACTCCCATTTAAAATTTTCATTGATGTTTTTTTTCGATAGTTATTTTTAAGATCATTCAATTTTTTTACAATGTTAAATATTTCGTGTTTAGCTGATGCAATATTGTCCGTTTTCAGAATCATCGATAGTGTTCTACGTTAATCCCTATTATGCACAGCTCTCTTAGTATTTCCTGTTTATATTTCTTTTTTGAAACCGTTTAAATTATACAAAGTGTCCGGTTTCTGGGTGAAAAAACCTAGAATAAAGTATTTCCATGCAAGCTGCTTTCGTTCTTTCGATAACAGGCGTTTAAAATTCATCGATAAGATTACGAGTGTTCTAAAGTGTCTGACAAATAACACGTTAATTCTACTTGAATTTGACATTATTTATTCCAATTAACTTCAACTAATTAGGAAACAACAAAATCGATGAAAAAAACAATACTATACTAATACTATATGCCATGATCAACGTTAGGACCAAAAACAAGTAGAAATAACCAATAATGGTCAGACTTTCTAGTACAATCTTACCCAAGAATTTTCAAAGGCAATTTTCATCAGAACGAATCATCCCATGAAAAAATTTTATTCTACATTTTCGATCCACACTCTCACATAAAATGACCCTGAATGACCGTTAAATATTAATTCTCTGTAAATGGTTGAAAAATCGACGTTAAAAATTCATCGAAACGAGTACAAGTGTTGTAAAGTGTCTGACACATAACTCGTTAATTCTACTTGTATTGGTAAACATTGATTTGGGATTATTTATTCCAACTAACTTTGACTAATTAAAAAACAACAAAATCGACGAAAAAAACAATACTATGTGTCATGATCAACGTTAGGATCAAAAACAAGTAGAAACAGCCAACATTGGTCAGACACTCTAGTACAATCTTACTCAAGAATTTTCAAAGGCAATTTTCTCCAAAACGAACCATCCTATGAAAAAATTTTATTCTACATTTTCGATTCATACTCTCGCGTAGAATTACCATAAATGACAGTTGAATATTAATCGTTCTTCATATTGCTACAATCAGAGGAGACAGTTAACGTTTCTCTGTAAGTGGTTGAAAAATCGTGGATATAATTAACGAGCATCTCGTAGAACCTTAAAGTACAGTTTGTATAGTTTGTTCGATCGTTTCGCGGTGTAGGATCGTCCGAGGCACAACGGAGCTTCTCTCCTCGTCACCCAAGCATTCGTGTTGTGCCAAAAGCCGACTTGAAAGGACCGCCGGGGGTTTTGGTTCGCGTGCGTGAATAACAAGACTTTTGAAACACACACATTCACTCACTACTAAAGCTACGAAAAAAATAGAAGATAGAGGTAGATATATTCGGGGGGGGGGGGGCGAGACGAGGGGTATTTTTGGCGGGGGGCGGGTGGGGGGGCGGTGATCCACGCCAGCGAACCAAACTGCCGTAGGTGGCTGGACAAAGTCAGCGGTTATTGGCATTCGTATAATGTGGATGTGGGATATGTCGTAAGCTGTCAAATTAATAATATTCTACTGCAAATAAGTTCAACACTATGTCAACTGCGACTCCGCAACCATAACAAACAGAGCTGATTATGCTCGCAAGAAAAAACAAATAGTCTATGTAATATATATATCCGACTCGAAGAGAGAGATCGTGGACTGGAATCGGATTCGAGATCGTGATGCGCGCGCGGGAAAGCTTTGTCAACAGGTTCCAGGCGTTTTTGTTATTCGATAAAAGACACGCTAAACAAAGGACCGTACCGGCCCCCGTTTAGCTTTCTATCCTGGTTATGTATGCGTCAGAAGCTCTCTATGCAAGCGACAGGAGTTCCGTGTTCATTGGCGACAGCGATAAATAATAATGATCTCGAGCGAGCCCAGAGAGTGAGAAAAAAGTGTTGCACGTCACGTGTGGAACAGGCTGAGAAGTTTGCAAGGCTACTCACGGTGTTAACCGGTCTCTTCAAACCGGAGATCGCGTTTTATCGAATCACGCCATTGTCATTGTCGCGATTAACTTGTTACACGTTCGTTACCACGCGACAAACGCGTGTGAATTTTCGCAATACACAAGAAAAATTATTAATGTTTGGTAGACGGGGTTTCTAAGGGGACAGAACTTCTTAAAAATATCCTACTTATCTCGCATAAGGCATCTCCAATAATTTAGTTTAACAAGAGACAGGTTTAAAATAAATAATTATAACTACTAAGAAAATTTGTCTAACACGAGTAGTAAGTATTATTATAAATTTGTGTTTCGAAGATTTAATAATGCAAAATTTACCGGAAACTATTACAGTAATAATTCTTAAAATGAACATCGGAGTTGGCACGTACATCTTTCGTAGAACGGAAATTCGACACCAGTAGATATTACATGTCGTCTTTCACGCTTCGCTGGATATAAATGTTCAACTTACGAATCACGTGTTCATTTTACGAATCATTACTGTATTTTTTAATTCCCAACGCACGAAACTGCCATTAATTTGGAACATACATGGCTACGTAATCGTTCTTCCATAAAAAAAATATAGGAAACGTGGGTGGGTTCGACTCCCCTTGGTTTTCGACAATTTGTGTCGATCTTTCTAGTATCAACGATCTGTGATTCCAAACTACGAGCTGCGAATAATAATAATAAAGTGATATTTTAACTTTGGTAATTTTTACTCAAACCCATTCTACCAAACACAAATAAATTTTATACCAGTATATTCACAATATGTAAAAGTATTCAATCACAGTTGAAAGCATGCATTGTATCGAATAAAATTTTTCAATCGAACCCGTGTGGTAGCGAACGCGTTAAAGTGACTTTGTCCCGAAAGATTCGAATTCGAACGGTGATTGACACGCAACCGACGCTAATACAGGGATTATTAATATAAATATACATGCAGTTCACGTCGAACATTATATGTAACAGACGGTCCATACTGTGAGAAATCACTAGTGCGATAAAAATAGATGCACAGAAAAGGGGGCGGGGGGTAGAAAGACAAATTAATTTAAGTACTGAAGCGTCCGAGGGTAGAGAAAAAAAAAAACATTGTTGCTCTTCAGGTGCGGCGGCATTAGACATCCCGACAGTTAACGCGCAACGTTAATGATACAAGCGTAATCAAGACAATGGCATGATAGATATAATAATAAATAATGTATATAATAAAATACGTATCTATGTAATATATGTATACGTACACTTTCGCTCGAAGTTTCGGTCAACCTCGATCTTTAAGAGAAACAAACCTTTTTTCATAGATGTAAAAACGAGTTACTAAAAATCAAGCTAAAATATTTTTTTTTCTCAATTCCATCCGGGAATATTTAATACATTTTCCGAGAAAACTTCTCGATGGAAGTAACAAACTGTCACGCATCTGTAAAGCAAGAAGTTAAAATAAACAGATAGTCAATTTTTGTCTTATTAAAAAAGCGAAACATTGTATATGTTCGCGAAAAAGATTAGTTCCTCCATAGATCGAAGGTTGTTCGAGATTTTCGAGCGTCAGTGTACACAGATATACATATATAGATGGCAAAAAACTGGTTCAATAGCAAGGTCGTACTAATTACTGTATAAAGAAGCGTGCATCTCTTTCTTCGTGAATAGGTTTGTTTGTAGGGGATGACGACAACGCTTTCGATGTAGCATAATAATAATAATAATTATTGATGTAATAATAATAGACAAACACCAGATAAGGCAGTGGTTATTCGCAGTTATAGTTGCGGTGAGCAGTCGTGAGGGAGATGCCCCCAAAAGCTACGTGTTAGCCAAAGTTACCGAAAGCTCGGGATCGTGCTGGCTCGTTTCTCGTCTCGAAATTCGCGTAGAATTTATTTTTTAAAAGAAAAGAGTTTGTGAAAGCGATCCCAGCACGTCCTTCCCTTTCGTTGACCTTGAAGGTTAGCAGCATTAAAAGTTCGGGCTTGCATCAAAGCACCATGACGGTATTCTGCGCGAGTAAACAATCTTGTGCGAGTCTACTGTGGATCATCGAAACGTTTTGGGACTCGATCCGTTTCCGTACGATCGAGAAGAGCGAGGATTGTACATACATAGGCGCATTACCACGCATGCAATTCGAAACCCGTTTTGCCCGGTCGACAACGTCTGGCGCTTCTAATGCAGACCCGAGACTGGGTAAAAAACTGGTTACAATAATGAGTCTACCTGTCCGCAGCTGTCTGTGTAGACGACACAGTGAGCGTTTTGGGGGACCACTTGGGCCCCGACAGTGGCTAAGGCTGCTAAGGCGATCCACATGCAGCAAACGAGGCAGTGTTCGGTACGGTATTTTTTTTTATCATTTTTTTTTTTTGAAGTATCGTTTTATTTATTTTTTTTTCATTTTTTTTTTTTCATTTTTTTTTTTGGTCGTTCATTGTTACCATAGTCGGTCGAATTCGGTGGAGAAGGCACCAAAATCAAAGTGAAGCACGCCGAACGTGCCCTCGGAGCACCCAGGTACATGTACGAAAAAAAGAATTTGAGTATGTTGTTTTTTTTTTTTTTTTTTATCCGGGTTCGGAGGTAATTTTTTTTTTTCGTTGTTGCATGGTCATCGCATCGTTCGTTGGAAGATGTCCGCAGAAAAGGAGTGCGGAGAAAATTTTATCATCGTTATGATTATTATTATTTTTTTTTTTGTCGACGGACAGTCGCACGACGCGTTGTTTCCGTTGTATTCGATTCGTGGAACGAAAAAAAAGTGATCGGCGTGGGCGGGAAACGGCCAAGGTGGATAGTCCGTAATGGAATGAGAGTGTAAATTCGCGCGCGTATCGTGTTGTTTTTGTGTATGCACGCATGTGTGTGTGTGTGTGTGTGTGTATACGTGTGTATGTAATTTTTTTTTCCGTTTTTTCGTCCCCCAATATGACCAGAATGCATGTACCAGGGTGTACGAACACATATGTTTACGTGTGTTTGTCGTTGTGTCCGGGTGACGGGCGAACATGACGGCGATAATGCGGCGGCGGTGCACACATACCAAGCCAGCATTTAAATATTCAGATGTACGTGTGTGTACGCGCGCGTGTGTGTATGCGTTTGCGTACGTATGACGATCGTGTGTTATCGCAGTAAGTTAAGTGAACGGTGAGTACGAACATTCAGGCGAGGAAAGAATTCGTTCGTCACCGGAGAGGGGGGGGGGGGTTTCGTGTGTGGTTTGCGTTTGTTTTTGTTTATCGTTTCGACGGTGATATCAAGCGAGCGCGTGAGTGTGACGACGACGCAGAAGAGATCGCGGTATCCGCGCGTGTGGGGGGTGGTCGCGAACGAACGACACAGGATGTGGGAAAGAGCGAAGAGAGAAGAAGAGACACGTAGAAGGAGAGAGAAAAAAAAAGAAGAAAAATAGAGAAAATGGAAAGAAAATAAGGGAGCAACGGGCGGTGAAGTGTTGACGTACGTACATTCCCAGCGCGTAGGATGGGAGAACGGTCACAATCGCCACATGAATGTAATTAATCGGAGAAGGAGGCAGGGATTGGATTTCGCAGCAGTTGTCGCAGATTCCGGGAATCAGGGGATAATTCAGGCACGTGCGGCGTTTCGGGATCAATTTCAGGATCGGAGGGTGGATTCAGGCACGTGCGTGGAGGGCCGTGTGGTAGCGTGGATGTTGCATCGGATCGTATCACGGACGAACCGGGGGATGAAAGCGTTGACGGGACGAGATCAAACAGTATGCGTGGTAATTTTCGGTCGTAAGACGTGCGTTGGATATCCAGGCGAAGGGCAAGCATGAAACAGAAAGTTTAAAGAGAGGTTATGAACGATCGCGATTAATCGTGCACTGGTTGGTGGTAGTGGATCGTGTGTAACTTGTAAATCATTCTCTGTATCCGCGTGGCGCGCGCAGCACGCATCAAAACGTTGGTTTTTTTTTTTTGTTCTTTTCGGCTACGGCGGGCTAAACAAGTTTTCATTCCATATATATAAAATGTAACCAGCGAAAACGGGAGCGAACGGTTACACCGTTCGTTTCAACCAAATGCAGTCGTGCTTCTTCTTTTTCCTTCTACGGCACTATGGACGTAGATATATATATAATATATATATATACAATGTCGACATAATAAAAAAATCGTGTTCGCATGCGCTTAAGCTTTTCGTCGTTTGGTGTTTGTACGTGTCCGTGTGCGTGTGCGTGTGTCGCGTGTGTGCGTGTGTGTATGTGACGTGGTTCGTAATCGTCGACGCATGCGGTGTGAAGGTATCGAGAACGGTCGCGTGTTAAAAAATTGAATTCTATATGAAATCGTAAGAGATTGCGAGAAAAAGACAGATATAGAGACAGAAGTAGCAAAGAGTTTATTTCGTCCATACATGATAGCGTGAGAGATACAAAGAAATTACGAGCACAAGCCATAAATATTTTCTACGGACGCGTTTTTGTTCAATACTTTTTTTTTTTAGTTTCTTCTTTTTTTTTTTCTCTCTCTGGTAAGCCGTGAATTATAAATATTCTACGCGTACTCTATACAAAGCGGTCTATATAATCGCGTCTAAAGAGTCTGACAGCGGAGAACGATTACCAATTAATTAATTCGTGAAGCTCGAGTGCTTGAAGCTTGCATATGCGACAAAATAAAGTGCTACTGCGATACTTACATCGGAAAGAGTGCTTCACATCGGTTTTCTATAATGACACAGGTGTATACGGACGAGACGGAACCGCCAGGCGTATCCAAGATAGTTTTGCGTCCGTTTGTACCCGGTTCGAGTCGTCTCGTCTTAAATAACGAGCTGGAAATTTGCGTTGGATAGCCAAACGCGGTTCTGTCCATTCGTATCCACCGATTCGGCCGTCACACGTTGGACGTTAGAGTGCGGCGATAAACCATCGGTCAAATAGTCCTGGCCATTCGAGTGCAGCTCCGGCTTAATTTGCTCCCTGTTCGTGCGGTGCCGTGAACATTTATTTACGTGTTTGCGAAACGTAATGGCATCGACGGAGTCGTGTCCAGGTACCGCGTAGAACAGCACACGCGTGCACGTTTCGTGTCACTTTTTTTTCGTGATATCTCCACGTTCATGCGGTATACGAATTCGCGCGTCGGTACTCGTTCCGTCGGTTTGGAACGAGATCTCGACGCTCGTCGTGTCTTTTGGTCACCACTCTTATACGTTCTCCATTACTTTTTTTTTTTTTTTGACACAACAAAAAGAAAAAAACGGTCGTCGAACAATTGCGTAGCACTCTTCTCGCCTTTGAATCGCAAGGCAGTTTGAAAGCGATCGAAACAAGTGAGGCCTCGGCGCGATACTTGATGCGATCAGAAGCGTGGATTATTAATATTTGTAAATAGAAATGCAAGCACCGCCGGGACTGGCTCGACGGCCCTGGAACGCGGCACCACCATTGGTCAGAATTTCGAGCGTTGGTTCGTCGTGTCCGTCGACGTTTGAATCTCGACTGTTTCCCGCCCGTTCGTCGAGCCAGGCGCGAACCGTTCCACGTGTCTCGTGGTACAAGCCACGCCCCCCCAGGACCGTTCTTAACAACTCCCGACGGTACAGCCTGTTGTCGGTGACACTCCCTTTGGAATCACGGTCTATCCGGTAACGAAGTGTGCTCCTCCGGTTACCGAGACTCGACGTGTTGCAAAGGTCTCTCTCCGTGTGCCAAGCATTACAAAACAATTTAGTAGGCACACGCGCGACTTTCTTACGCAGGCGATAGCGGCGAAATAATATAATCGAAGCTGGATAAGAAGCCGACCGAACGCAGGACTGTTAGAGGACTGGATAGGTTTATTTTGAAAAAGATCGATCCCGCGATGCATCACGATTAAACGTACGCAGCTCGATTATTTCTTACGCGTTAAAGTCAAATTTTAAGTTTCGTTCGTTGATTCGTCGATTCTCATTTTAATATACGTTGTTCGTGAAATTTTCTGGCCTTCGAGCCTGTAGAAGTGTTATTGCAGAGATTTCGAGGTCATCTTAATATCATTATTTTATTTATAGCAGTAGTTGGAAAATAGTTGCGCGAAAGACTTTTTTGGCGAACGCTGTCAGGCGGTCGCCCGTACAAAATGGACGGATCTTTGTCTTTAAATGCCAGCAACGATGAAAGTGTTAAGGGAAAGTCAAAGTATTTTAATTGAGGACAGTTTCTTAAAATTATTCACTCAGAAAAGAGTACTGGTATCACAGAATAGTTAATGTCTATCGTTAGAAAATTATTACGAGTATTTTGTAGAAGTCAAAATCGTACTTGCCAGTATTATTGAACTCACTGTTCTTGTTTTGAGTGAATAAAAGATTAAATAAGTATAATAATAAAATTGTACGTTAAACAACAGAAGATGACCCTGAAACCTCGGTGTAATCGAATCCCCAAGTTTGTTCGACCAAAGCAAATAACTTAAAAGCGACCGTTCCCGTGTCCGGAGAAGCGTAAAAGATAATCGAGCGTAGGTACGATGTTTAAATAAATTTTTCGCGCGTCCTGGTCGACCTTTTTCACGACGGTAATTAGTAAAAGGGTTAATGGACGCAAAGGATGTCTAATGTGGCGATTGTTGATAAAACTGTAGGTAGCAGACTGGGATGTCGACGTGATAAAGATACAAGTATACCTAGATATCGCTCCTTCGTGCCTCTGAATTTCGCAACTAAAGCGCAGGAGAAGCTGTGGTAAGATGGCGGAAAGATCGGGGACGTATATAACTTAAGTTAACGGTCAGAGAGACGAGAAAGAAGTGGAAGAAAAAGATACAAAGAGAGCTCGTACGCTCCTCTTATGGCGTTCGTCATAATAAAAGCGGCTAACATCTACAAGGTTTTAGAAACGACCGTGTGCTTGGCATCGTCTAGGTGTGTTCGACAACTAAAAGGCAATGTTACCCGCGAGAACTGAAATCGCGTCAGTGAATGTTACTTTCTTTTTCTCTCTTTCGCCAAAGGCAGAATCAAACGTGCCCGAAACGTTAGCGTACCAAAACGGAAAGACGCGTGAGAGATCTTGTTCCGAGTGCGAAACACGTCGAAGACGAAAAATAATAGTAAAAAAGAAAAAAAAAAACGTTTGGAAAAAGAAAAAAAGAAACGCGCGAAATCGTAAGTAAAATACTACAAGCACCAAGTCGAACATATTATCGAGGGGATATTAAAAATAAGGGAAGCAGGAAGCGAGGCTAAGACTGTGAGCAATAATGGGCGCAATATCGAGTAATACACGAGTATATATATAGTATATATAATATGTATATATATATAAATATAAATTACAAGGGATTAGCGAGTTCTCGGGAAGTTCTGTTTCGATAGAAAGAGATGAAATAAGAAGAAGCATTAATAAAACAAATATTCATGCATTTCTCAAGCATTATTATTACAAATACTGGCTGACTCCTTGACAAACCCCGTGAGCGTGCACGCGCAAAAACGCATTCGGGACCTTCGAAGACTCATTTGTATCGTTTCATTCGTTCTTATTCAACTTTTCTCCCAGAACTGTCTCCGTGTTTTCATATTTCTTTTTTTTTTCTTTTTTTGCTTTTGAGTCGACGAGACGCAGACTACACGCGGCTACGGTGTTTTCTCTTTTGTTTTTTTTTTTTAATTAACCAACGATTACTAATTTAATTCGTTTCCTCGATTAAATGGACGACGCGTTTATTCTATCTCGTAGGACGTCTTCCTCGCCACGCGGCGTATTACACACTGTTCTGCGTGTGGCGGACGTGCGCAATATTCGTGCAATGTGTGCGCACCGCGCGCGTCATACACGCATACAAGCGGCCAAAATGCACAAATCACGTCGGACACACGGGCACGCATGTACAATCGTGAATTTCATTTTGTCGTTCGTTTTCTTTTCTCTTTCCTTTTTCTTTTTTTTGTTTTTCACGCGAGAACCAACGCGTTCCCGTGGTCCTCCTCTCTTGAATAATATTATTGTTACGAACGATTACGCAATACGACTGCGACTGCGGGGCACACGCGTGCATATATGTGCGCGTACACACACGCGCGGCAAATACATGCCCGCGTGTAATAAGGTAAGTCTAACGAGAAAATTAGAGACAAAACGTTACACAATAGTAAATACTACCTGTATGCATGTAATATAGGTACGCCGTATAACGTGTCTGTATATGTTTGTGTTAAATGTATGTTCGTGTTTGTTTGCGTGCGTGTCCTGTGTGTTACTTTTTCTCGAATCGTTTATAATCCTTAAACTCGACACTTTATATATTTTTTATAATCGTATTCCTTCCTGTTCGTTGCACGATATCTATATGCAACCGTTAATAATGCTTAGGTTTTAATTATACGTACTATATTATAAGGTATATTAGACGTAGTGCTTTCACGTGTGTTCTTTCGAGTTACTTGTAATACTCTAGTACGCGTGTGTTCTCTTTCGTGTGCAACGGTGTACGAGTGCAAGGGGAAGGCACTTCCGCTGTTTTTCGATCGAAAGCCGCGCGGAAAATCCCGCGTACCGCGCGCGTCCCTGTGCTCGCCTATGTTTGATTGTCCGGTTTTAAGATCGAATCCAAAGGCCGTACGACGCGGAAACTCCCAAACGCGATACTATTTCCCCGGGGCGAGCGGCCGGCAGGATTCTCGGCGCGGATCTGACAAGACCAGCCACCCTCTCGATAGTGTACGTACAAGTGTGTGAACAGCAAGTTAAGGAACCGTCGAGCGATCGGTTTTGCGTGAGTGAGCCTTTTTTTTTTAGAAAACCGAAAAACCACGGTACAACCCTATGGCTTATATCTCTCGCCGAGCGAGACTATTCCGTAGGAGGCCGTTCAGAAATTAATTCCACGATCCGCGCGTGTATCGATCACCGTGAATATCGCGTGTCTCTGTTGTGTGTATATGCGTGTTTTGTGTGCGCGCGACAACGTGTGTACAAAACGTCCGTGCCCTCTGCGGGACACGACCAGCGTTATACATCGCAGAAAAAAAGAAAAGGACCATACTATCACAACGGAATCGCCCGTATAGGTGCTGACGCTCGCGCGGATCAAAGACAGCCTCTCCGTTTTGCGTTTTTCGTTTCAACGAATCGATACAAAATAATCGCGTACACTTTCTCTCTCTCTCTTTCTCTTTCTCTCTGTCGCTATGGAAGACCGTGTTTCCTGAACAATGTTACGCCTGTAGATTAACCACCAGAATCTATCGTTTTTTTTTTCTTTTTTGTGCGTGTGTAAGCGCGCTCTGTGCATTGTGTGTTCGTGATCTCGGGATGGCGTCGGAGAAGCTGCCTTCGAATTTCGCGCGCGAACCAAAGGAGCCAATGAGACGGTCGAGTTACCATTTTGTTACGATGGTCGCCGACATGGCTAAACGTTTCGAAAACTATTGCAGGCACACGTTCGCGTTGCTGAAAAACTTGTTCGCGCCGCTTCGGATCAGAGACGCGTAAGTAAATTTTATTGGAAATATATTTGCATTTTATAATCCGGATTGCAATCTTTTAGCATCAAAATATTGTAAGAATGTTGTTTGTTTCGTGTTCGGTAGTGGAAATTGGTATTTAGATTAGATATTGTCCGGTCTCTGTCGCGGATTGAGAAGCCACCTCTATTAAAGACGCGATGCGCAAGGTAGATGCGCAGAAAATTATTACGTCGTCGACTCTTGGAGCATTCGTATTGTTCGTCTATTCGAGAACTATTAAATATCATTCTGAAGCAAAGTATAATCGACCACACAGTTTATTATGGTTATTTCGTTTTTTGACTCTGAAGAAATTTGAGGACTATAAGTATATTTTCTTGCTACTCTTTCTCTTCTATATTACATGTAGTTTGTTATTATCGGCAGTGCCTTCATAGCCAAAAGAAGTTAAAAAAGTAATGACGGTGAAATGAATACGTTTCTTTGTCTGAAAATGTAATAAATACGTTCGAGGTGTAAATGTTCAGAGGTTAAATGGTTAATTAACGTACTGATACTCGTGCATAGGGAGCATTTAAAGTCTTGAAACGTTAAGAATAATTTGAAGAGCAATCGACGACGTAGTGATTCCATGCGCAGCTACCTTGCGCATCGCTTGGCTCTGGCGCGCCTGCGCAGCGTGGACAAGCTTTTCTCGCAGCGAGTATACAATTCACGTTGCAAAAAAGATACGTATTCGACGCAGTATACCAGATTGATGGAAGTATAATCGCGTGGTACTAACTGTAAGCACTCTATGGCTTCTTTCGTTCAGTTATTTTTCCTCTCCACTGTATATGCCAGTGAATGTTCAGTGTGTATACATATCTATACATACAATATATCATCTCCGATACTTTTCCTTTTTTATGTGTAAAGAAAATTAGTATTTACACGTATATAGATCTACAATATATTTAAATATAATACACGTATATTTCTTCTCTCTCGTCAGTTATATTATCTCGACTAAACGAACTTTCAAATCACTGGCAAACACGTGTACGAGTACACGGAACAGAGAAAACCCTTTTCGTATTCGTCTGGCGAGCGATTGTTCGTTACATAATGCGCTCGGACGTTTTTTTCATTCTAACGTGTACGTAATCCATAAGAAATGCACAATATATTAATTACTTCGACGCGTATGCGTGTATTTGCCCTCTGAGGAGTGTTCGTGTGTCTGTTGAACGTTTTGTGCGGTCATGTATCATTAATGCGCATGTGAACTCGTTTCATTTTCTATAATTTTCTTTCTCACTTTTATATTTTGTTTCTCTCTGTCTCTCGGGTAGATGTCCTCCCGATTTTCTTTTCGCAACCTGGTTAGTCCCGTCTCCCTCTGTCTCCACACTCTCGAAATCAGCCTTCTCATTTCGGTAATTCGTGTAAATGCATGTAATATCTGTCGTTCGTTTTATCTTTTTATTTTTGTTATATTTTTTGTTTTTTTTTCTTTTTCGTTCACTCCGCTTGTAATCGGCTCGTTCGTTTCGTCTCTTCTCGGCTAAATGCATAAGCTCGTGAGTTGCAATTGACGAGGTTCACTGTGTGCAACAAACTCCCCCGAATTGAATCCGTAAAAGACAGAAGGATGCCTCGTGTTTCACACGCTATTACATACTCTAGATAAATATATATCGCATAGCGCTAGATAAAATAAGATAGGACGAGTTCTCTGCTAAATCTATGAGTACTGGTAATTATATACGAATTAAAAGGATCGCCCGAACACGACGGCGCTTTCCGTTTCAATCTCATCGATGTGCAAGGTGTTTCTAGGAAACATACGTTACTATAGTTGAATTAATCCTTAAACTAAATGGAAAGGGGCTGAGGTCGGATCGGCAGAAATTTTCAGGAGAACGTGCAGCGCTCGCAATAATAAAAACAATTAATCGTTTAAAAGTACGATCGACGATCTAGTACATATCGAATCCGTAAAAAGTAAAATATATATCTTTCGTTTCCTTCGTCTTTTCTCCTCTCTGTTCCTCCCCCTCTCCTCCACTTTTAAAACTAACCTACGATAAAATTAAAATCTGAGAAACAATATAATGGATAAAATCAATCGAGTTTCGTATAACGAGCAAATCGACTGTGAATAAAGAAATGGACATCAACGGCTGACTGGGATAAATGTTTTAATTCTACGACTTAAAGGCAAGTTTACGCACGTAACGTGACTTAGGCCAAGCATCGTTTCCGTCCATTCCGGCGTATATAAAAAAAAGGAGTCCGTTCAATAAAATTTACAAGGAACGATATTTTTCATCGAATACGTCGCAACAACCGAAATAATATTCAAAACAAAACGGGACGACGACGCGTCGCAATAGAAAATTTCAACAAATTAAAATCATACGTAACTCGTTACAATTTAAAAAACATTTTAAGCTACAACTAAAACCATTATTCGCGTAAACGTGTACGCGTATACGTGTTAAGCTACCATTTTTTTTTTTTTTTTTTTTTTAGAAAAAAGGTGCTGCGTCACAGGGCGTGAAAAAATGAATAACGATCGCGCTGAAAATCCGGATCGATCGTGCAAAACGCGACGGTTTACTCTGGCAAGTCTTCATAGATTCACTTTAACAGACAAGAAAAAGTGTGAAAAGGAAAAGAACGTGAAACGATAAATACGCCATTTGGTGGACGTTTCAGGATATATCGACAATATTTGTTACGTTAACGAAAAGGAAAAAATCGGGAGGATTTAAGTCTTTGCGTCGTTTCTTTTTTTTTTACAGCTTTACGTTCGAAACACTTCAAGTGGAATCGGGTCAATAAGGCACTGTTCACCGACAATGTCTGACTAGAAAATGAATCTATTTTCGGAACTCTTGTTTGTTTCATTTTTTTTTTTTTTGTTTTTTTTTCGTTTTTTTCTTTTGTCTTATTTCAACGTTTCATTTCTCGTTTCGCATCCGCTCGGTTGATGTTCTCTCTTTCGTGGGCGGCAACGCGGGTTCAGGCCGGTTCTCACGTACCAGCGATTGTACAGTTTACACGGCGCGTTTCAATTCCTCGTTATAGTATTGTATACCGGGTGTCCCGCAATGATACAATCGAACACAAGACGATTCTACGCGTAAAAACGAACCGAGAACGAGGAATGAAATTGTTTCGTACGGGGCTTTGTTTTCGAGAAAATCGATGTCGAAGTTATTCGGGGCACGCGCGCCTTTTACTGAAATCCAATTTCATGATTTTCGATATTGATACTCGTCGCGTACGTAACGCGTCGAACAATTACTATTTAGATACTCTTAGCGTTGGGCATTGTTCGAATAAAATTGTATTTAAATAAAAATAACGAACGATTAATCGTTATTCGTTTATTTATTCTTTTTCGAAATTTTTATAATTACTACATTGTGTTAATTTCACTTTTATTTTCAAATCTCGAATGAGAAAGAAAAAATGAATGATTTTGATTTATTCGTGACTCCCGAATCAGAAATAAATTGATTTTATTCGTTATTCTAATTAACTTTCGCCTCGTACCGACACAGATGTGTACAGTTTTTTTGAAATTGATTCTTTCGAAAATAAATGCCCCGTACGAAAAAGTTTTATTCCACGCTTTCGATTTATTTTATACTTGTATAATCGATTTCTCGTTGATTGTGTCACTCTGCGCGGGACGTGGTACATATTTTCATTCAATTTTCTGTCCCTTCGTGCCGAATAAATAAGAATATATACAGGGTGAACCGTGTAACTTGTCCGTTCTTACTATTTTCGTCGATAGGCCGATCGAGACTTTTGAATCATGGATCACATGGTTCGAAAGGTCTTTCATTGGATTTTATATAAATTTTTTTAATCAGTTTGTAATGTAACGTATTTTTATACATGACTATGTATATCAAATCTGTGGGCTCTAATAACATTTCTATTTAAACGATCTATAGAAATTAAAAACTGCTAGATAAGAGCATCAACTTAAAGGGTATAATGTCATAACTTTTAATGACCTTTAGAATCATATCGTCTATGATATCAAAATTCATAGTTGTAACGTATACAGGGTGTCCAAGTAGTCGCAGTGCAATGCGGTGTTACTTCCCGCAGAAACATATCGAAAATGTAAATCATGGCAAAGTTGGGGAAAAGTAATTAGATTGTATTTGCCACGATAGGATTGCATGTAACCGCGCGGTAATTTGACAATTATTACACGCTTTGAAGATTTACGATTAAGATTATACCGCAATTTGATAGTAATTACCGTGAGAGTACATGTAATCGTATCGTGGCAAATATTATCAGATTACGTTTCGTCCAACTTTGGATCGTGGTCGCGTAAGCGGACAAATTCGTTGTCGTATATTCGGACAACCCTGTATACAGGTTGTTTAAAAAAAAAGGGTTCCTGACTTTCAGAGCAGACAGTATTCGCCAAACCGGAAGATTAAAGTCCTGATGAACGTGTATCGACAAAATAATATTTCTGGAATTTCCACACACGTTTCAAATGTTAAACTCTTCCAGAATCACCTGGCTTTGTTCGCGCAGCTTGACAGCCATTTTCTATCGGCTCATGTAATTCGTTGTTTGCACCATATTTTTAAGGAAACCTCAATGACAATTAACTAAATTGAATTAACAAATATATGTACACTAATTCAACTTTTATTTCAAAAGTTTAAAAAAATTTGTATAAAAGCTCGGGGTGTAAAATTTGTACAAAACTCGAATAATATGAATTATATTTCGATCGACAATAATTTAATTTTAGCTAGACTAGGTTGAACATTTTCAACCTTTGCCCCGAGAAAATCAATTCTCCACCTTACATTTCTATTTAAGAAAACAAATGTTTAGAAAAAAGAGGGAACAAAAAAAATGTTGTACGCCCTACCAGGCACTTCCACCCTGCTCTCGAGAATATTAACTTCTCAACCCACGTTCACTTCCGTTTGGCGAATGCTAGCTGTCCCAGAAGTAACCCTTTCTCGCACCATCCCCAGCTCCGCTCGAGACCGAACAAAGTTCACACGATCACCGTTGGCCTGAGGAAAAATTCGAAACGTCTCCATGCTACTAGAGGCTGGAAAACGGTTTCGATGGGGTCTCGAAGGCACGAAGGAACACGGTGCGCCGCGTTGGCGAACGTAAGAGAGAACGCAGAGGGCCCAGAAGAAGGAACCAGAACACTCAGTGACAGGAGGGAGGACGCGCCGTCCCTCGAGCCGACGAGCAAGTACGTTTACGAGGTCTTCATCTTTTTGTACGGTTGCATGATGACGCCCGAGCTGACGGGAATGGCGACCTGTGGCTGGGCCGCTATGGTGGCTGGATTCGGCATCTGAGGTATTTGGGGGACGCCTGGTACACCGGCGGCCCCGACTCCAGGCACGCTGGTGACACCCGGTAGGACAGTGTACGGATTCTGGACGTACGGGTTGCCTTGGACAGCGGTGTTGGGTATCGAGGCCTGGACGTATGGATTCGGTAGGATCTGTTGCCTCATCAGGGAGTAAGGATTGATGTGATGGGTTCCTGCCGGGGGTCTCGAGTAGGCTAGGATTCCAGCGGAGAGCGGCGAGGTCAGGGCCCCGGGAATGCCGGCTAGATTCGGGATGACTTGCCTGGGCGTCGCGGCGGTGGCCTGCAATCCGGCGACCGCGGGATTCCCGGCCGCGGCTGGATTCACCAGGGCCTGTTTGTTCAGGGCGACGCCGGTGTAGCTCAACGCCGTGAGCTGGCTGATGGGATAGGACTGGGACGCCTGGGATAGCTTAATGGCCTTCGCGTAGTTCTTCTGGGCGACCTCTTTCGCGAGAGCGGCTGGATCGAGGTGAGTAGGCAGTCCGGACATCATCCCGAGGCTGCTGAGCATGTTCAGACTGGCCATGCTGGATACATTGTAGTTAGACATCGACGCCATGTTTGTCACCGACGGTACATTGCTCATAGAGGCCATAGAGGCCATGTTAACCACACCCGGCATCGAGGTTAGGCCAGCTACCGAGGTCAACGGACTCATCATCGCGGGTTGCACGCTGGCGGCGGATAACGCCAGTTGGTTTTGCAACTGTTGTTGCTGGTGTTGCTGTTGCAACTGATGCTGTTGGTGATGATGTTGCTGTTGTTGTTGATGTTGTTGTTGCTGTTGTTGCTGTTGCTGTTGCTGCTGCTGTTGTTGTTGTTGTTGTTGTTGCTGCTGCTGCTGTTGCTGTTGCTGTTGCGCTTGCTGGTGCTGCTGGGAAATCGTCGAGGGACTCGAGTGATTCAATTCGGGGGAGTTATGCGCATTTTCGGCATCGTGATTCTGCGTGGCATTCGGCTGCTTGTTACTGCCGTTACTATTGTTACTGTTATTGTCGGCAGTCGGAGGTGGTGGCGGTGGGTTGTTGCAGGGATCCATCAGCACGCCATTGTTGGCGTCGGCGCAGTTATTGACTGTGGCGCCGCTGGTTCCCTGGGAGGAGGAGGAGGACTGAACCACCACCGCGTGGTGGTTGATTTGCACGTTCGGGGGTTGCACGACCGATTGGTTAGAGGTTTGGGTGGGTAGGGGTGGTGTTCCAGTGTACTCACATGACACAGGCACGAAGGGCTGCTGCAGCTGCATTAACTGTTGATAGGTCGTCGCGCCGGTTGGCTGATAGACCGGCATGCCGGACTTGTCGCCCGCCGGTCGTTTATACGGAACCATTCCTGGGAAGGCCTGGAAAATAGAGAAGCGCCGGAACGTTTGCGATTAGTAGGAACAATGGTTCAGCGCGGGGGCGTGTGTGCATGTTGAGCGGAAGCTTCGGTATACCGAAGCCTCGACTCTTGTCTTGCGGGGGAATATCATTTTTTTTTTTTTATTTTTCTTTCTTTCTTTCTCTCGTTTCGCTTCTCCGTGTAGAAACTTTCTCCTGATCCAGCGGAGCCGGGGAAGCCTGGCTGGATGTTTCACCGGAAGTTTGCTTTTCGTATGGCACGGCGGCTTAACGTGGACGCGGTTCGAGCGCAAAGTGACTCGTGCTAGGCAAAACCGTGGACTCGACAACCGTTTAAAACGCAACCGCCGGTTCTTTTCTACGTTTCGCTGCAAGAAATTCTTGAATGAAACAGTTAATGTATCGTAATTTGACTCACGGGCAACGGGGGAACATTTTTATCGCAACTCTCGCGATAATCTGAGCGTTCGAATCGGTTAAATTTTTTTAAAGTGAAGATCAGTGCGTATTTCGATCAACAAGAATGTAAAAAAAGTGTTCATAAATGGACAATAAGATTGCAGAGTTGCCTTCGTGGACAGATTTCTAACAACGATTGGTTAGCAATGATCTCGTTTTTTCGTGGTGTTTCGAACAAATGAATAAAAATAAAAAAAAATATACAGTTACTTCCAGTCATATACGTACACTATAATGGTTACTCGCTATAAATTTTTGAAACTGATATAAGTCCATTTCCTGATATATTTTAATTCTTGTCAACGTATTGTTGATTTGTATACTGCTTATATTATCACTTGATCAGTTTTGTAATTGAGCATTATTTGCCCATTAATATTAAAAAAAATAACCAAACAAATTTCTTTTCATTTATAGCAAAGCACGTGTACGAACACGAGTGGGTGTAAAACGATAAGACCAATGACTGAATTGGATTTAAAAATCGGTTTTCCAGCGCGTGAACATCGTTGTTAATGATCGATCGTATTGACTCTAGGCGACAGGGATCGGATAAAGATGCCGCGCGTCAGTTTTTATGATTCAGTGGTTGGATTCTGCACTTACAAAGTTCTCGTAGTAGAACGATCCGACAGACTTCATGTCCATCTGCAACAAAGACAGGATCGGTTTCAACTAATTTCGAGGATTGGGTGCGTTGAGTTCTGTATAAATTGGACGTTCATAGGATGACGATAGAGAAGGTCGCTTTGTCAGAGAAACAGAATCAGGTGGTGAAAGTCGGGACGTATCAGAGAAAAAGTAGGAGGTTGGGGGTGAGGGGTAGCGGTTATTAACAGTTAGCAGTTAATAGTAGTAGTAAATATAGTAGTGGTAGTAATGTGTAAAAGTTGTGCCGATGACGCAGCTTGCGGCGACGTTCCCAAATGACGACGTTCTGTTGTTGGATAACTGTAAAATGTTCATCTTTGTCGTTCTTTCATTTTTTTTTTTTTGTTCTTTTTATCTCGGCTGTTCTATTTTTCCCCTGTTTCTACTACTTGGAGCGTGTCAGAAATACCAGCCGTTACTTATCACGGAGGACCGTCATGGGGCCAATTAAAGCGAGAATCGTTGGTCCTGTTTCAAATTGGGAATCAAACAATCCATTAAAAAGTATAACGGCGAACGCAAACTTTGGACGTAACACAGTTTCCTACGTAGGCGCCTCGAACACGTGGAACACGAGTCTCACGGAAGCTTTCCACGGCGATTCGTCGTGCGTCGCTGGCCCCGGAGAACGTTCGAATAAAAAGAGAAAAGATTGTCGAATAATCGCGGGAAAGCAGCTTTTCGAAAAAAAGAAGGATCGGAAGAAGATCGATAGGTCGCGGCTTGAAGAACAGAGAGGAAACGAAACGGACGCACGAAAGCTGCGAGCAGCAGACGACAGAACCAGACGCAGTTAACGAACCATTCTCGGCGACGGTAAACGGTGGGTGGAAAAGAAGCGAAACGAAAAGAGTGTTCTACCGACGTGTGAGAGTTAAGTTTTCGGAAGCTGCGTAGTATCGGATGCAAAAAGCTCAGAAGCTGACAAAAGGTAACCGTGCGTAAACGCACGTTGTCGTTAACCAGACACGAATACAACGATGTTCGAAACGTAATTGGCAGTCGCAGAGAAGGAAAAAAAGGGGGTCATGACGCAAGCTTTAAAAATGCGATACGCGAAACAGATACATATAACATCTCTCTGTCGGTCGTTTCGACGTCCCTTCTATAGCAAAACAAGGATACAACGAGACGAAAAACATCTTCGACGCGTTAACAATTGTCGAGAAAAAGGTAAAGAAAATCGAGGCAAAGACTCAGTCGCGGAGAAACGACTGTCGTTCGACAGGAGGACGGTGTTCGTGGCGACGAAACCGTTCGGGGGGAAGACAGAGAGAGAAAGAGAGAGAGACAAAAAGGCAGCGAGAAACTGGAGCGAAAGAAAAAAGAGATTTTGCCAGAGAGTAAAAAGGAAAACGAAGTCAGAAGTAGCGTAAGAAGGTAGCGAGTGTATGTAAGCGGTCTACGGTGCTCTTAGCAGTTTTCGACGTGACTCTGAGAACCAAGATAGAGATCGGTCACGGCGAAGGAGCCAACAGAAAGAAGAAAGAAAAAGAAAAGAAAACAGAGAGAAAAAAGAGTAAATAGAAGGATTCCGAAAAAAAAAAAAAACGTGAACGGGGTACAAAATAAACGCGGTACCGTTGTTGCTGGCTCTAGAGAAAAAAGACAAAACTTTTGGGTCATCGTCCAGAGCGTCGAGGGGATGACATTTTACACCATCACCTCGGTATAGTCGCTTAAGCACAACATGCATCATCGGCGCAAGCTCGGAATTTACACAGATCTAACGCTCCGTAAACGAGGTACAGCGCGTACCGCGAGAAGTTGGCCATCGGGGGCGGCGCTTAGTTCGCTCCGCCCATCCCCACTCTCGACGACCAATCGGAGCCGCGTTCCTTTCGCTAGCCAACTTCTCGAGGACGCACAGTACCGTCTGGTATCGGTTCCGCCTCTCAATGTTTCGTTTCTTCATATCATGTTCGTTTTTTTCTTTCTTTCTGTTCGCTCTAATCGCGCGAGGCGGTCCCAACGTACGGAGATTAGAGTCGAGAATTTCGTCACGGAGTTCGCTGCGAAGCACGCGCGCATCGGTTCCGTCAGCTTTGACGGAATATCGTCGAGAAATGGTCAATTTGAAATCCTGAAACGGGGCAAAATGCGCGCGTGACTCGCGTCAGTAAGCATAGCCGTCGATCGGATCGCGATCGAGAATCGGTAGCGTTTCGATCGCGTAACCCATCCGGGCGTTGGCAAAGGATTCGCCAAGGGATAAATTTACATTAATTCGATCGTGTACGGTCGTCAACAACCACGAATCGATTCGACAGTTTCGTCTGTTGCTTTTCATAAATTTTTTCTCGCGGCTAATTCGTGGCTGATGACCGAGAAATAAATAGTAAGCGATCTATAAATACATTACGAGGCGTAAGCTCTGGTACGAACAACATTGCAACGAACGACAGTACGAAGCGAAAATCAATGAGGAAAGTAAACATTAAGGAAAAAAAAAAAAAGAACCAGAGACAGATTCTCGAATTTCGTTTTGTGAGCGGTTTCGAAAGAAAGCCAATAAACATACATGTGTCGTATGCGTTTGCCGCGAGCAATGAGTGTAAAATCGAGAGAAACAAACAAATTGTACGGCGAATATTATAACAGTTTCTCCCGAGGCTGAACGGAACACAGCGGGGCTCTTGTTAGAAATAAAAAAAGAAAAATATATAACGAGAGACAGGAGCTAGAGCTCTAAGCGCGCTCGGCAGTGTATTCACAATCGCAATGACTATATTCGTAACTTAAAGATACGACTACGAGGAACTTCCGGAAAATGGCTCCAAAAACTTCTCGATTTCTGTATCCTCGACTTTTTCGTTCCCAACCCTCGGACAAACGCTGGCGTTTTACGCAGCACTCGCCGGGGATCTGAAAATCGGCTAGAAATTAATGTCAGAAACTGAATTATACCTCTGGCGACTAATTACAGAACCGAACGAACGCACACGTTCTTTGTGCGTGCTCTCTTGAAGATAATTTTGCATAGAATCTGAAAATACTAAGCAAAGCAATTAGAAGACCAGTGCCTCGAGGACTTTTCCTGTATTTGTTATGAGAATTACTGTAGATTTTAACCCCTTGCGCTGGAACGACGTGCTAATCGTCGATGATTATTTATTTCGAAAGAGAAAATTATATTTAGTTACTCAGTTATATTAGTATGACTTTTGATCGATGAATCTAAAAATTTATCTATTTTTCTGCACAATCCCTTGTTACGATTATTTAATTATTTATTATGCGGATAAAAACCAATTAGTGTGCAAGAGGAAATATTTAGTATATTATTATTCATACATATATATTCATTAACTGTTAATAATATTTCGATCTATATTTTGAAATTTATTGCATATATCTTGAGTTACGAATCGGTGAATAAATTCCAGTGCAAGAGGTCAATGGATTCATAAAATAACTAATCATTTACATCTGTAAGACTATAATCCAAATGAAACACTTGTTATTGCTTATATATTTTCATAAATAATCGCTACTGGATACGTAAAATGTTATTTCTATTCCTGAGACTCTGTTTCCTTTCATGATTCGATGAAACATGCGATCTTCTAATTCCTGTTTGCAATAATCGGTGTGTTGTTATAAATTAGCACCCTTGAATAGCTCAATAGTTCCTTGATTCTATCGCTAAGTTGTTGAGAAAAATTTATTTTGAATGCTGTAGTGTAATACGATGCACAGATACTTATTGTTGGTATCAGTTTGTGAACATTGTTATTAGAGTCTACGATAGAATTGGGATATTCGTCAGATTGTTAATTTTCGATGCAAATATTCAGGCGTACGATGCGGTCAATTTGAAAACGAAGCGAACGTAAACAATGGATCGTCGTGTAATCAGAGTTCCGCTGCACAGTGGCCTGGAAAGCGATATGTCGTGGTCAAAATTCAATTTTTGCACCATCGAAGGAAAATATTTTTTCGGTAAAATTGCAATCCGTTAAAGCTTCGAAATCCAAAAATATATTAAAATATCCAAATGCAGTTTTCCTTTTGAACAACTCTGAGACCAAAGAGAGCATTCTGAGGACAGAACCATAAAGTGAAATTGTTTTAATCATATATAGAATACCAGAATTTATGTTTGCATTACTATTTTATGCACGCAAGTGGATCTGTTTTAATTATTTAATCGTGCCTTAAATAATTTATAGTCGAACGATAATTGCTAAAAGGGATACATAAATTTTATATACAACCTTCTTTGGTATTTTAATAAATAGATGCATCGAAATTGAAAGAACAAATTCTACAAAAATAACAGAGAACTTCATGCTCGAAAGAATAATCGGAAAATAATATACTTAATATAGCCATTTAAAGTCAAACCAGTTCGTAAAACTGAAATTGCTTTCTGATTCAGAACCACGCCTGCAATTCTGGAAAAAATACGACTAGGAGGATTCTAACGAAAACGGTAAAAAGATACTATACTTAGGCATATCTAAATGATTTATATAACAATAATACTTATTCATATTTCAGTTCATATACTACCAATTAATTTCCACTTTGACCATTAAATTTCATTTCACAGCGACCATAGAACTATATCTAAAAGAATACGCTAAGATTACAAACAAATAATTTGGATCCATGCATATTAACGAATGATGAAAAAAAAATAAATACGATTCGATCCCTTTAAAAAAATTCTACGAGATGATCGTCAATGTTCCGAGATCGAATAAGTGATTTTGAAAGACTACTGGCAAGAAATCTATTCGAACAGTTTCTCGACGAACGATGAAGGAACTATATGTATATGTAGGGTGCTAGTTTATGGTTACTCACTCCGTCGAAGAAGCCGACCGTCGTCGTTGGAAAATTAGTAAAGAACAAGTTACGAAACGATAGCCAAAACAGTTGTGACGCGACCGATAGGTTGGAGCCATTTTCGCGAGATCCAGCTATGAAAAAGGAAAGTGTACTCCATGCATAAGCCGTGGTACCATTAGCAGATCATCATTGGAGTCGCGCATCCGCTTCTTGCCGAGTTCGATGCCCGCCATACTGGCGCTCTGAAGTCCTCCGGGAACCGCAGTTGCTGGCACTCCTGATACTCCGCCAGCCAACGCGCCCATTCCCGCCACGTTTGTCGGCATCGTCGCCGTCTGCTTTTTTATATATATATATATATTTTATTTTGTAAAATATTTTGCGTATCGTTCCGGAATATTTCCCAGTTAATCCATGATTTGTTTTTTTTCCCCCGGTTTCGCACGTGGGCGTTTTTCATTTCGTTCCGTTTCCGTAGTCGGTGCATCGATACATCGCCAGATTATTCGTTCGGTGTCCCCGAGACATCCCACGTGTACGTATTTATCACGATCGTCGTCGTTTCGTGGTCAGCCGGTTGAAATTATATCGGCGTTCGTCGTTGCATCATTTTTTTTTATTTATTTATTTATTTTTTATATTTGCATTCAGGCGTCGATGCAGTCAATTTTCGATATTCGTCGTCGTTGCATTCGATATTCCGGGGGGAGGGGGGCGCATGAGTTTTTTTTTCGGTCGGCATAATTTTTCAGTTTTCGCAGGCGTTAATTGGCAGATAGCGAAGCGCACGAAGGTTTTTGTCAGCAAGCATGAAGAAGCATCGTCAGGCGGAAGAGGGCAAGATAAAAATCAAAAAAAGAAAAACAGACCAGTTGAGGCTAAAGGCAAGAAACGACAGTCGCGATAATTTACGTAGATGATCATAAATATAATAGTACACGTATGTTACACATATATATATATGAGCTGTATATATATATAGACATATGTAAAGCCGGACGGCGTCACGAGAGCGTTTCGTTCGTACGCATGCGCGTCGTTGTACACGCGCGCGCGCAGAATTTTCATGGCGAACGTTTCCGTCGCGTAAAACGACACGTATGTAGGTAGATTAATATGCACGCGCGTTTTATGGGACGCAAAAGCGCTTCTCGAGTTGCTCTCACGAGTGCCGGTATCAAGGCTGACGTAATCGCTCGTATCTATCTTGCGATTCGATCGGTCGACCGTTCGTCCCCGCGATCTCGTTTTTCATCGAGAGAGAACCGGAGAGGCGCGTTCGCGTCGAACAGCGACCCTTTTATCCGGCGAAACGCAGCTGACAACAAAACCACGGACGATAAAACGGGCATCGACCCCGTCAAAGGCAAAGTAAACAACCGAAGGAGAAACGCTTCTTCTTCGTTGTCAGTCAAATTTCGCGATCGGAGGAGAGAACGGAAGAGCGAGGAAAACAAGACCGCCGTTCGCGAGCGCGCGAAACTGCGTTTATCCCTGAAATATTTAAAAGAAAGAAAAAAAAATAGAAACCGGTAACATCGTCGAACCGTTAAGTCCGGTACTCCTAAAAGAAACATTCTGATCAGTTTTAAGAATCATTTGCAAACCTTGACAATATTAACAAGTACAACAGCGGTAAAAACAGTAATGGCGGACAGTTATTCAGAGATAATTGGCAATGGTAGTCCGGTTGTCAGCAACGACCTGCAAACTAATGGTACCAGTATGTGCGAACGTCCACGTGGCCGGACGTCGCTAATAGCAGCGCCCTGGTAATTGAAAATAAAGTAACCGAGGGTGGGAAACTGAAAAACTGGCGAAGAGGCGGAGCGCACGAAAGAAAACGGAGAATCCCATTTCGTCGTCCATCGGGATATCCGGCTGGCATTTCTGACTCCGGCAACATCTGCAATAATCGGGGGCTATCTGTCGAAATTTATTAGTTTCGCCGGGGATATCTTTCGTTTCTATCGTTCCATTTTCCTCTCTCGTTTCTCCGCGAGAACGCGAGAAAAAGAAATACAACGGATACGGAAAGCCAACGCGCGAATTGATTTCGATAAAACGAGAGAGAAGAACGGAGGTTCGCAGGTAGCAGAGCCCCGGTTCTCTTTGGATATCGCGTGAACTCCTGAAAAAGTTGACGAAAAAATTTTATTTCAAGTTGCACATTATTTTCAAGCGTCCGCCCCCGCGAGGATCCGTTCCTGATCGTTTCGGCGTTGACGTTGTCCTCTCCATCAGGCGTCGATTCACGGAATGTACGTACCGGGTGTCGAACGTGTACGTGTACGATGCATGTACGTGCGTGTAGATGTGCGTGCAATCGTGTATTCTTTTTTTTTTTTGTACGAATCGATAGTGGACAGAGTCTAATCGGTCGGTCCATGCGTTTACATAGCCTCGCGACTGATCCGTACCTTCTCTGTAGGTAGTAATAGGGGAGATTTCGTGTCGTACATTTGACAAACATTCAGTTATGGCGTAGCAATTCCGAAGAGTGCATTTTGTTGCATTAATGCGATTAGACGGCGCGATCGTCGATGATGGGTGTTCTCGATACCGGGGCGGCGAGGTCGAGGTTAATCGATCTAATGGAACATCACGAGAGAGCAAACGAATATCCATGCTCGGGGGTAGATCAAAGGGTGCCGCACGTGATTAAATCGGTTTATTTGGTAAATTTCCTGCTCCCGTCGCCGATTCTTTTCTCCTTTTAGACGCGTCAATTTGTATCGCTCTCGTTGAATACTTCGCGCCGACCGTAAACCGTACACACGCTGCAGTCAAGTATTACAAAATTGATTCGTATTCCCGTCGATCGATGAATACGTCAATGGAATTGATTTTAACCCGATGACATCGCACACTCTTTTTCCTCAGTTATTTTAGAATTTATTTTTTTTTTCTGGTTAGATATTGACAAACATATAGTTTGCTGTTTGACCAAATTAAATTTATTTATTTTTTATAACTTTAATCAATTTATATTATTGTATTTTTCAAGCCCAATCTTATCAGAAAATTCGTTTTTCTAAGATTTTATAATGAAAAATTGTTACAATATTTTCAGTTTTACTATGTGGAATACACAGATGTACACGAACGATTTAATAGGAAATATAAATTAATGTATATGGAATTTGTAATTATATACGAGTATCGTTATTTCTATCTACCAAGTGATTATGAGTTTGTAAAAACTTTTTCGACGAAATATGATGGTAGAGGAAATGAAGTATTGCTTGGCCAACGCGTTTCTCGATTTGCAGAAAATTTGATTTGAAGTGAAAAATCCATATAATTTTTAAACATACATAGAATGAAATTCAAGGTGTCCCACATTTGAGGTACAAAACTTTGTCAATAGATTCTACGGATGCAGACAAGAAAAAGATGTTATATAAACATTATTAGAAAGTTATAAACAAAAATGGAAAATTCTAGTATCTTGCCGAATTCGTTTTAATATCTACTAAATGATAAAAGTGAAAAAAAACTATAGCTTTAAAACTTTGAAAGAAAACAATTATCAAAAAATTTAGAATACTCATCAAACCATGTTATACTAGAAAAAAAAACATTCTGAACGGACCATCGATAGTAGGATAAACTATATCAATCAAATTACACGGTCCACTTCGTCTAAGGGCTCAGGCAGGAGTAAATCATGCCAGTTAAATAATTATACCTCAGCCGGTCGAGAATCGACTCTCGATAAACGTACAGTTCCCTAGAGATCGTTGATGTCAACGGGTTAGAAATGCTTGGAAAGCGAAAGTCCGCGAACCAGGGTGAAATTTCGTTTTCAAAATGGCGGTAGACCTCGTGGTAAATTCGAACGAAGGTTACTGTCGTCGGTACGCGCGGTATGCACCCTTGGGAAATTGAAAACCACTTTTAGAGAATGAGACTTCCCTGCCAACAAGCTGGTCTGCCGCAATCATCCATGTGAGACTTTTCTTCCATTGTGTCCGGGTGTGGCTGCAGGTCTTCTGCGCGACGTTGCTGAAAATGTCTTTTCTCGCGTTCTCTCGTGTTTCTCTTTATTCTTTCTCTTATCGTTTCTTTCATTTTTTTTTTTATTTCTACTAGCTTTTTTTTTAGTATTTATATTTTTTCGGTTCTCTATATCCCCCGGACAATGGACGATTCTGTCCCCCCGAAGACAAGTTCACCGAGCCGAGACGGAATGTCGGAATCGTAATATCGTTTCGCCCGTCGTTCGAGGAACAACGACTATATTTTTGTTCCCATCGGCTGTCGTCGGCTTGCGTGCTCTCTCACCAAAAACGATCGCTCGTCACTCGTCTTTCGAAGCCGATTCTCGTCGTCGTGCGAGACAGGAACGCGCGTCGGCTCGCCGATCGTCCCTCGACTCCTCGATTCTGGCAAAACACAAACTCGCGTGTCTCCTTCTAGCAAAAAAGCCGTGCAATCGGAGGCGACGACGGTAGGACGCCCACTAGCCGCGGATTCAACGTTCTCCGGAGGCACCGAGCGACGATCGAGGGACGATCGCGAGGCAGAGACGGGCAAAACTCGCGTAAATCTTAATGAAAATCACAGCCTTTCCGTGCACGAGTCATCGCAATACGATTCCGCCCGTCTCTGTCGCGAGGCCGCTGCTGATTTCGACGTCGTTCAACGTCGATCGCCGCGAGGACGCGTGCAACGTGAACGAAGACAGATTACGGAACACAGTTCACTGGTCCCTGGCCCACCATTCCCAACAAACCCATCGGATCTGACTTTCGGACGTACGTATGCGTCTGTGATTCTCCTTTTCTAGGTTCGATAACTCTCAGTGTAGCGTTTTATTATTTATATATATATATATTTTATTTTTTGTGTGGGGCAGCAAAACAGCAGCGGGGGTTGATAGCCGGGGTTCGTGCAGCACAGCTTGTCAGCAGAGTGGTGTACGTGTCATTCGTAAAATACATGTCACTTTAACTACTTCTTATTTACAAGACCGTGATCGCGCTCCACTTCGAGCTCCCAGTTTTGAAACGTTTCGTATCGGACGGTTATTCGGGGGACCGTGGCTTTCGACGTTATTGTAATGATTCGTAAATTGAACATTCTTATCCCTGGCAGCTTTAAAAGATCGCCCTTGGAGGCAATAAAGCGTGAAAGACATTTGAAAAGCGATAATGATTCTTAAAATGAACACGTGGTTCGTTAATTGAACATTTCCGCCCCCCTTGGAGCGAAGCGCGAATGACGACGATTAAACAACGATACGAGCTGGGACGTATAAAAGACCGTGCAAATGATCCGCTTGTGTGGTTCATTTTACGAATCATTACCGTGTCCCGACGATCTGTTTGCATGCCCGTTTAACGTTCTCGGTCGCGAACTGGAAATGGAGCCGGTCACGCGTAACTGCGGAAATATCTTGTACTCGTTATTGACCTAGGTACCGAACAGGTGATTTGGTGTATTGCAACTAGTTCTTTGCACCTGGATAGCTGCGATAGGCTGCTAGAAAGAGAGAAATAGAACAGTGGTGTTTTTGGTGATGTTAACAAGAATTCTGCCTCGTGTACTACTCACTACACGCTACAAAAACGGCTGAACATCATACAGGAGAATGTAAAAACGGACGAACACAAAAGCGACAAACATGAGAGAGGGACCATGTACGATCGGTGGGGACGTAATGAAAGAAAATAAATACGGGATCACGAGAACGAGGAGAGGGTGTGGTTTCGAACGGAACACAAAAACAGAGAATTCGTAATCGGGATTCGGGGGGATCGGTGTGGGTGTGTTGAACGGAAATACAACGTGAAAACTATTATAAATGTACAAAATCAGCGATAACCGTATCGAGTTTGACGTCTCGTTTTTCTTCGTGCGACCGTTAACGGCCGTTCGACGTTAACGAATTACGTACAATTGACGTTTAATTAAGCTTGTCGTCGCATTCGATGACAATGGCTGTTTATCGTGCTCTGGATGCTAGTCCCGCGGACGAGTTAATTCGTATTCGACGGCACACCGGTTACGGCTATCGCGTAATTCGAGCACTGCGCAACTATTGGCCAATTTTACTTGTGGTTCGGTAACCTGTCTCACGTGCGACAGTGCTATACATACATGAATATATATACATATACGTATATGTATCGCTGTACATATGTATACAGAGAGCTCGATACGTGTGTAATGGCGTATATAGAGTACGTATGAGGAACTACTGCGTTTCGAAGGGGGGAAGCCCGACGTATACACTCGACGTAGATTGGCGAAAAGCAGCGCAGCAACGAAAGCTCCTTTTCACGCAAACCCAGGAAACTGAAAGATTGGTGACAGTACACGTGAAATTTCGAAGACAGAGAACAAGACAGATGGTCGGAGCGAAAGTGGGAGAAAGGCCGTGAAAACGGGGAGGATTGGAAAATAAGGACACGATATGCGGTCAGGGATGATATGCGTGCACTTCGAGTCGTTTGATCGTCGAGGACGACGTTACCTTTGCTTATTCTCGAGCAGTTTTGCATTCACTCTGACGAACTTCCTTTTTGACTGTCGAGCAAAGAGCACGGTGGAAGAAATTTCACGAATCGGTCGTCGAAACGGTTGGACTTTGGACTCTGAGATTCCGCGAAAATGGTCAATTTTTTAAACTCGCTGGGAATCTATAATTACTACGAAATAGGCGGATCTAATGCTCGGTTATTTAGTCGAAATTTGTTAGAAATTGTTTGTCGGTTCTGGAAAATAATTGAGATTATTTTTATTCTCGTTTTCCTGGGGTGTTAATTCGGCTAATCAGACAAAATTCATAGGTTGTTGCAAGAGTCGATTAGAGAGCTTGAATCTTATAAATTGATTATTTATCGTGCAATATGCATGTAAATATAAGGCAATATTTTTTCTTGTGGTCCTTAACTAATTTTGAAAGGAAAGGATTGAAAATAACATATGTGTAGCAACATATAGAATAAAGACGTAGTAGTAATAATGAAAATAATACGGGTTTTTGGTTCAGCTCGATATCGACTTTTCAACACAATACCTGTAAAATTCTTAGTTGATTAGGAGACGTATCGTTGTCTGAGGAAAACGAGAAAAGTAATAGGTGAAGTATAATCTCAATATATTATGCTATTTAGAATTTTGTAATTTTTTTGAATAATTCTGTATGCGAGAATGAATTGAAAATACAGTACAACAGGCTTCGTTTTTTAAAAAATCAATTTTTTAAATTCTAAGGTCACAATTGAACTAAATTTTATTGGCACGTCTGACCATTACTCGATATTTTCACTTGGATTGATGTTTCTATCACGTCGATGATGATACAGTATTGTACATATATTTTACAACACTTACTAGGCTTTGTTTTTGAGAAAATCAAGTTTTTAAATTCTAAGGCCACATTTAAATAATACTTTATTAGCATGTCTCACCATTGCTCGATATTTTCACTTAAATTCGTGTACGTAACCAGGATTGAAAAACACTAGAGGAACTTTTTCTACATTTTCTTATGGTGCAAATAAAACCCTTTCAATAGATTCCATTTAGATAGTGTAATTGGAAGTTTGTTAAAAAAATTTCTCTAATTATAAATCACAAAGAAGCTAAATAAAAATTCTAGTTTGAATGGACTTTATAAAATAAAAATTCTCGTAATCGAAACAGGTATTTTGTTCGTTCGTACGAACATTATTCTAAGTCCAATATGATCCTAGTTTACAATAAACTGTTGAATACTCTTCGGCGATTTACTATGTTACTGGATGTAAAAGTAATACATCAAATTATAAAAATAATATCTGTTTTTACAGCTCTCGGTTTCAATTAGTTCCAACAAAGTGAAACATTAAAACAAGTAGAAACAGCGATTAGTGGTCGGACCAACAAGCAATAAAGTAGATTTTCTGGATGACGAAGCCCTGAACGAAAAAAGCTGCGTTGTCTACACTCCCCTCCATTAATGTTCTCCCGTAGAGTCATCATTTTTTTCACTCGTACCGCTAATTAGAAGACACAGCGTTATTTTTTACGATGCCCATAAGTTCCAACGCTAACGTTATATTTCCGACGAGTTCGGAAATCGACCATTTCCTGGCTGCGGAGCCCTTCGTAACAAATACATTTAACCGTTCTCACATTTCAGCGTTTCCTTTCCATGCATTTCGTTCTTCCTGTATACTCGGAACTCGTCCAACCGAGGCCGCGGTACGCGGTGTGCTCGAAATTACAGATTTTTACCACCACCGCACCTTTTCGCCAAGCTCAGCGATCAAACAGACAGAGCGTCGGCTAATACCCAATTTCCAGCGTAGATGGAAAAAAAAAAATTAAATAAAAACAACTCACAAAACATCCGCACATGAAGCACACGCTACATGGAACGAGAGAGACAGAGAGAGGCGTAAAAAGAGAGTAAGTGAGAAAGTAGTCGAAGAAACGTTGGGAGGAGCGTGGGATCAATCGTCGCTCGACCCATCGAGCGATTAATTTTTACATTTTTAGAGAAAAAAAATTAGTCCTCGTGTCTGAGAAACCTGAGTTAAAATTTTAAGTTCACTTTTTTTTTACCGATACCAATGTCTAATCGAATAGTTCCTACACAAAAATTTATTTTATCGTGGATGGTCAATATTATTCTCAACACGTCGACTGCCAGACCAAAACTGCTAAATCTTTTACAAGATGAAAATTTTGATTTTAAGCGATTTTAAGCTGTATACATTACAATTTGTTTTAATATTTATTTTCCTAACTAAAATTCAAGAATTCAATTTAAATTTATTGCCTGTAACGTTTCAGCTCGAGAATTAATTATTTTTGTTTCAAAGTGAGAAATTGATGAAACATAATGTACGCTCCTTTTTCCAAACGAACCTTCGTTTACGAATCAAATTTAATCACCTAAGGACTGTAGAGTAGTTGTCTTAAGTCCTATTAGAGTCGCTAAAATTTGAAGTCGTGATTAGATTGATCCCATTGCTGGGTCGAGCGAAACGGACGCGACCGCGACGACAAACAGACGCGAGTCGCGACAAAGAGATCGGTTTCTTCTCCCCCGAAAGACGGTAGCAGGTCGCTTCCACGGTGTCCTTCGGGGTCGGTGCCTTCGTCATCCCGTCTGCTCCGGATATATATCCGGGAAGCTCGTCCCTTTAATGACGAACCGTGGGCTTTTGTCGCGCGGTCATCGTCCAGGAACGACGAGGGAAACAGAGGCCAGAGGGGCACAAAGGCTCAAAGGATAGGTGTGCAGAAGAATTATCGGATATTAGGGTGAAAAGGATTCCTTTGTACGGGGGACGAAACGGATAGAAATCTTGGTATCGGTAACACTCTACGAGATTCAAACTCCAGGGTTCGAGAGACGAGGGAAAACGGGTCAAGGTGTGCCAGCTCGAGAGATCAGTCCTTGGGAGGAACGGTTCTATCGGATTTATCAACAATAAAATTCGTACGATAGTCCTTGCGTTTCCTGGACTGATGCCTCCAGCTCCCTCAGAGCAGAAAATGCACGAGGAAGAGTCAGAGGGGAACCAGTTAGTGAAAAGTAAAGAGACAGTTAGAAACAAAAAATGAAAAAGGAAGAATTAGAAACTGATAGAGATAGGCAGAGAAGAGAAGAGAAGAGAGAAGAGAGAGAGAGAGAGAGAGAGAGAGAGAGAGAGAGAGAGAGAGAGAGAGAGAGAGAGAGAGAATGCATTACCGCAATGCTAGCCCGAGATTGTGCGGCCTTAATGTGGGCTTGAAGGTGCAGAGGGGGGTGGAAATAGCGGCAGGGGTCCCGATTGCATCGGCCCTTGACAGCGTCCATGCAGACCGTCACAGAGCCGTCCTCGTTCGCCTGCACCGTCTCGAGGGGGTGCGCAAACCGGCACTCCGTCTCGCCGCGTTTGCACGCCCCGCGTTGAAACTCGCGACATACCTACAGCAAGAGCGAACACGCATGGCATGGCACTCTATCTATGTGGCCAATGGGGTCTGGGGGGCTGGGCTTTGGGGCGCAAAACCAGGGGGGGGGGCAGCTCTGGGAATCGTTGTTTAGGTGGAGGCGGCTAGGGTAGAGTAGGACCCATTCTTTTCTTCTTTTTTTTACAAAGGATTTTTTTTACGGGTCTTTGAGACACTACTGGGACGGGGGAATCCAAGTTTGCACGAGGAGGGGGGATCGGATCCATTTCGATCTTCTTTCTGTTCCGGAGCTGTGACAGGATGGGGAGGGTGATGAACTGCATGCGGTTTTTGATCGGTGAACGAGGCGACCGAAGATCCGGGTGAAAATAGTCTGAAAATTGGGACTCTGGTAGGAGCGGGGGAAATTTGTTTCGGTAACTAGAATTTCGCGATCTTTTAAAATTGAGGAAGGATATTTGGAAAACCAGTGATCGACTATGATTTTGATAGTTATATGTCTGAAATGTGAAACAGGAACAGCGGCTGGAAGAACCAGTTCAAGATAATAATGATCGAATTATACTTCTAAGAAAATTCAATAATCGAAATATGTATACGAAAATTACACAATTTTCTTTTACACTCTTCTTGCTTAATACCGTAGAGTACTATTTTCACCCGATAGAAATTCTTTGTTTTAATTATTCGATTTTTAATTATGTTCGTGTCGACCATTGATTTTCTAGTAACAATATAACTTTTAAAATAATTTTGTTTTGGAAAACATATGAATTTTTCTAAATAAGCATTGACTGCGAATACGCAAATAGTTTCAAAAGATACCCTTAACAAAACTTTCGTTGAAATTCACGAGAACAGGTTCCATCTTTGAGTCGCGATTTTTATTCAAACTTTCTCTGGCTATTAGCAAAAATGAATACACACAATACTTTACCAATTCTCATCATTTGCTAAAATATTTAACATTTAGTTTTTGCATTTCTGTATATAGATAAATCTAATGAGAGTTGATAAAAATACTTTTGAAAACAGTTTTCACAGCAAAATCAACATGATCTAAGGTAAAAATGTTCCACGTGAAAATCCCGTAGCTTTGGTTTCGATATTAAACAAACTGATTCTGAAATTTTTACTTCAAAAATCCAAAACTCTTGTTAAATATCCACGTAAATAATAAGAATTGACCAAAAGATCTGTCAGCTTAATTTTGCTCTAAAATGACCAGAAAAAATCTGAATAAATGACCAAAGTAAACAGACGATTGATCAATAAAATTGAAAAGTTACGAATAATTTGAGAATTCGAATCGAAATCAGGGGCGAGATTAAGACTGCTCCGTAAAGAAAAGCGATTGAAGGAAGTATTTAGGGAATGTCGGGAGGGTCTGACGGACGAAGTAGAGGCAGACAAAGAGAAATAAAGAGTATGAGAGATACAGGCGGAGAAAGTAAAACAGTGAAAGAGACCGAATGTATACAGTAGTATGGCAGAAGGATCGAATGATACGAAAGAGCGCCCCATTTCTGGAAGTCGGGTCTATTTTCGGAGGCTTAAGAAGAGCCAACTTGACTTTCTTTCGGTCTTCATCTTTTCTTTCTGGCCGTTAGTACGGTATCCCGATCTACTGACTTCGTCCGAAAGGGTGTATTTAATTTTCTTCCGGCCGATCGGTTATCCTCGAAACGTCAATGCGTTCTCGAACGACTCGTTTCGAGTCTATTGCGATTAATAGATGGGGAGCACGTTCGTTGTGCATCGATAAATATTATCGACGCGACGTCAGAGAGCGGGGGCTTATCAACGCCCAGAAAAAAGGAAACATCTAATCACTACTCTACGTGGAACTAAATACCGTGTTCGATTCTGTCAAATAGACGTCGTTGCTGGTTTCGGTGTACCCTCGCCCCGCCCAATAAGGTCAGAGGACACGGAAAATCGGACGACTATTTGAAGGTAAAAAAAGGGAGGTAGTTTTGACGGCTGCCTCCACGAGCATCCTTTTGGTGTTCTATCAATCGGGTTAATTCGCACATGTGTTAAAGGATTCCTTGCGCATGCATCACGTACTATTTCCGGCCGTTTGTCTTCCGTCGCGATGCACAGGCATTCAGAAAAATATATAGTCCGACGAATCTCCTCGACGGTATTTCATTGGCGATTTATGCGCCAGCCGCGCGGCTCGCGTGAACCGGAAAGTGGCAGTGACGAAGCAATGAAAATGGAAAAAAAAGAGAAAAAAAAATGTTTAATACGTTGTGGGCTTTTTGCTCGACAATTTTTAATTATTAATAATTCCGTAACATATACCTTCGTTTGGCATCCACAGCGATAACTGGGACATTCTTTTCGAGTTCGCGATAATATTTTATTTTGCAAAGATGTTTAATTAAATTTCAATTTAATTTAATCGATCTTAATTTTTCGATCAGGTCTAAGTCAAACGCAAGAATGCAAATAATGATTTGCTGTATTTTTTATTTTTGATAATTCTCAAAAACTATCATAAATACAGTACTTTTCATCGTCCAACGATATGCACGAATTCAAATCTTCATGTGCCTAACATCTGCTTTGAAAATTTGTCAAATTCGAAAATTTATACAATTATACTTAAATAGCTTCTTTCAACGTTAGAATAAATAAAACAAGTATCCAAAGTTCGACAACAGATTTTAGAAACACTTTAAATAGCTTACAAACTGATACTGAAATTTTCAGTAGAATAGGCACATAACTAATCAGACGCTCAGCCGACGAAAATCGAGCGACTATCTGCGTCCGTAAATACGACGCCGCAGCAACAAAATCTAATAAAATGGTTAGTCTCGACCGATATAATTAAATTCATCGAATTTTAAACACATTCGACGCAATTAAAAACGATCGATAATTACATACGTAAGTAAAGTGTAAATTAATTTCCTTAAAATTTAATTCAGCAATTCTAACTTCGTAAATCCAAATCAATGTCTACACTTCGAAAGTACAAATTCTTAGTTTTATTTACGGAACAGTATTCCTTCGCATTTACAATTAAAAAAATCAAATTTCTAAAAGAAACTTTTCATAAAAAATCAAAGCGCCTACAATTATATTCGTGGTTCGACTGCAATTAAAAGAAATTATATTTCCATTTTCATACGAATACAAATTTTCGAATTCCTTTATATTAACCAGTGGTCTGACGTATCAAATATGGAGAATTGAAACGTCTGTTATTATAACGTGACGTAAATCGACGGAGGTTTCGTTCGACTATAGATTTTTCTTGGTGCATCGCGGCTTATCTAGCATTCCATAGAACCATGCAAGCTTCGTGTGTTTCATTCAGGCCTAGGCGTACACAGAAAACTAAGCGTGGATTAATGCAGCGATCAAACGCGCTATTCGTCACCTGTATCGCCGAGCGAACGCATAGGCGTCGACGTTCGTGTGTTAGGAAGTGAGACAGCTAAGCGAGCGAGTACCAGAGCATGCGACAGTGCACAAAATTCTGTTCTTTCGTTCGTTCTTCCGCGGCATTTTTGCTGTACGGATGCATGGAACGCTCGAGAGCGCGCGCTCTCCCTCTATCTGTCTGCATAATTTTTTGCCCCGTCCCAGAGAGCGCGAGCTATCGACGAAGGCCTGAAAGCTCGTTAGGAACGCAACGGGAATTAAACAATTAACGAGGCACACACACACACGTACACAGGCGATACACGAATCGTATACAGATATCAAGTACGAAGAAAAGAAAAAAAAAAGAAACATACACAGGTGTGTACATATACCATACACGGATAAAGAGACAGAGAAGTACTTGTAAGAGAAAGAAGCTCAGAAAATAGGGAGAAGAACGATAATGTAGATCAGACAGACAGAGAAAGTCACGGAGAAGAGAACAGATACGTTGAATGGTCCCTTTTGACTTACTATACTCGCAGCGAGAAATAGTTCCCGGTTCAAGGTCACCGAGTATCGCCACTTCGGGCACAGATAATTCCAGCTTTATTTTTTCACTCTGCTCTAGCATCTAAATCAATTAATCTTCGCGACGAATCTGGTCGGAGGTTTTAGTCTGTCTTCTACTCGTTTAACCGAGGATCGATATTTCTTTCTCCCCATAATACTTACTCGAACGTATAGCTGGGAGAAAGAAAGACGAGTCCTGGCCGGAATCTCGAGTCCCATTGGCGTCGGACGTCGTCGGTCAGAAATTTCACGAATGGAACTGTGAATCTTGTTCGGTCCAAGTTCTACTTACCGATGGTACCCTTCGATCCGGGACAAATTTTCATTTCTCCCTACGATACATACGTGGGGCGTGTATAGTCGGGAGAACGAAAGATCGGTCCTGGAAGGAACTGCGAGTCGTCGTGGGTCTTTTAGTCTTCGTAACGCCTAAAAAACACTTTTATACTGTCCGGATTCCCGAGATCTATCCTTTTCTCGTCGTCAATCGCGCGGAGAACAACGAAATGCGTCGAAACCCCCCCCTCCCCCCTTCGCGTTTAACCGACGCGTTATCGCCGTTGTGTGTGCTCGTGTGTGCTCAAGTTATTGACCGTTCGGTGCACTCGCGATCGGAACAAGTACAAAGGTCACAGTGCCCGCCCGCGTTCGACGCGAGGACTCCCGGAAGCTTCGGCGTCGTTCTTCTCGAGAACCGGTTTTAATATTGCCGTCACCCGACCTCGTATTAGCAGAGACAAGATACGAAAAACTAAAATAAGTTAAAAAGTACATACTGTCCGCTGAAGCACACACATAAAAATTGAAAATAACGATGTGGAAAGAAGAAGAAAATTGGAAGAAAATCATGTCTGTCAACGGTTACGTGTATCCGTTTGTGTTCGTGTATCGATGTCGTGCGTGTGGACGATTAGGTTTGTCCCGTACGCGTGTGAATTTTCGCAACGTGTAAGCATGAACGTGTAGCGTGTAATTGTTCGTATAAATTTGTACGTGTGCGTGTGTGTGTGTGTGTGTGTTTGTTTGTTTGCGGATGAATGCATATAAAATGTCAAA